TTTGCTAGAATTTCAAAAGTGCATTTATCGCTAAAACAAACCTGAAATACAAGTAAAGGACATTAGAATTAATTTAGGTAGCCATTTATAATTATAAAAAAAGCACTAGACTAAATTTTTACCAATTTCCATAAGTCGAAATCTTTATTCTTAAGGTTCTTAGCCCATACAAGACATTTTTTTTTTTTTCATACCAGCTGTTAATCTGGGTTTGTTGGCTGGTCTACAAGCTTTAAAATTCATTTGTAGTAGTGTACGCCTTACTGTCCTTTCAGATACACAGATTCCACTACTTTCCAATTTAAATTTAATTTGTTTAGTAGTAGCAAACCGGTTTTCATGGCAAATCTTCCTCAAACATCTCTCAGATCTTGGTGAAAATATTCTCTTCCCTCCACATGCGTTTGTCCTTCGTGGGGATAATTCTTCACCAAGGACACTTTTTTTCTTAATTCACCGAATAGATGTCTCGGATACGTTCGGAATTGAGATATCTCACGATTTGAATAATCTTCTATGTCGACAAGGGGTTTCACTGCTGCGATCTTCTGAGGAGACAAATCACTTGCCGTTCCCATTATTTTTATTCAAAACTATCAGTTTTTCGTATACAACAATTCACAATTTTTAAATAAACACGGCTATACCTATTTCACAAACTAATAAATGGAAAATAAACTATCTTCATGCAACAACACACTACTCATGTCACCTCTTGTTCTACTCAACTCTTATAATTTGTGCGTCTAAGCAATAAGGAGGTGTCACAACAATGGTACATAATGACAAATAAATTATTAGGAAAAGAAACTTTGTTTTTATTGATTGATTCGCAACAATGCCAGATGTAATGTACTACAGTGAGAGACTTCAAAACAACATTTTGTTAAAAATTTGGAGTGCGTCTAATAATATAGCCAGGGACTGTAGTGACTGAAGTTAAGGAAAGTTGCAAAGAAGTGATGGTGTAGCCAGTATAGTAACAGAAGAGGGTGTTTGTATGCTCCTGTTAAGAATTAAATTTTCTGAACACCTCTGGGGTAGAAACACTATGTGGGGTGTAAATAACAAAGATTATGATCTGTAAGTAGGCTACTGCTGTTATTCTATTTATTTTAACGTTATTGAGCTTTGTGAGTCTTGTCATGCAAAGACAGGAGGTTAGAAAATCAATTTTTATACAGTATTTGTATTTTTGCATTCCAAGAATTCATTGAGCTAGATGTTTTTAGTTTTTATGTATTGTAAATTAACAAAGTTGAATTCAGTGGTTGCAGGAGAAATCCAGGATGTCTGTAATTAGAATAAGTCTTTTATATTCTGGGATTGGAATCATATTCTCCAGGTATTTCTTTATTTGGAGAACATAATTCTAGATTAAGAGTCAAAGAGCACGGTAGAAACTGAATCAGGTATAATTTTAAATAAACTTCACTTTACAAGTATTTGAATGTATTAACTTATCAAATAATATAAAAGTGTAAAGAATTAATAATAAGAAGATTACTCGTATTTATTATATATTAAAGGATAGCAGTTTTGATGTGCAATGAGTCCCAATTTTTATTTAGATTTATTTAACATTGAAGGATTTTGTCTTTTTGATAGTGAAATCTGTTGTTGTTTTTTTACAATAAATCTCATATGACTAGTATTTTAATTAATTCCCTGAAATTATTTCATTTGGCCAATAGTTCATTCAAAAATATTTGACAAATATTGTTTTTGACAATATGAATAATGTTTTACAATTAGTACTTTTCAGGGAATGATGCAGTAAAAATTCATGATACACACTTTCATAACCTTCAAATTACATACTCTTATATGGCCAATGTATTAGAAAGTTTTTATAATGATTTTTTCTTTTTAATTTACAATATTTTTTTCTGTAATAATTTTTTCTTTTATGTTAAAGAAGCAGTGTTCTTGGAAATTTACAAAATTGTAATTTGCTTTTCTTAACTTGCAATTGTTTTCCAGGTATACATATGTATCCTAATTGATTTTGTTTATACATATTACCATTGTTAATACTTGATGAGGTGCATACTAGAGTTGATGCATTTTTATTTGTCGCTTGTGATAAGAAAGACTTTAGCTGAATCTGAAGCAACATTCAATAAGATATTTTTTAAGATTTTTTATACAAACAAACACTCAGCAAATGAATGATAGGAAGAAGGATACTCTAAAATAGATTTCATTTTTCTGGCAATTAAAAGCACAACATAGTTTGGTATTTTGGAGAACTTTATATTTATAAAGTAATAAGCATTTGAATTTTCCTTTTTGAATTGAATTGAAGTAGTGATTTTATCACCGAGCAAATCGAATATGGTATATTCAGTGTCATGCTTTGTAACTACAGGATGATTCACTGCTCATTGCTAATATGCCGAAGCCTTATCTCGTATGTAATGTGCTGACTGAATTTGCCGAAATTGGATAGGCTTCGTTGTTTAGTTTTGTAACGTTAAACGTTGGACTACGCACATGTGCTTGTGTATTATTGTGAATTGTTTTTAATGATACGAGCGGCGGCGAGTGAGCAAGCGGCGTCACCAGTGACTAAGTGAGCAAGCGGCAACTAGCCCTTCCGAGGCCCCGGTTCAAAAACTAAACTGGAGACCCCCCCTCAGAAAAATTTATGCAACTAAAAGAAAGTGTGCTGAAAACTAATTTAAAAGAACTTTACTAATCACAATGATCACAATATTCAGAATCGAGCCCTGAGGACTTTCGCTTTGACGAACGTATCTATGACATCGCCAAGTTTCGCCTTTAACTACATTGTCACTTTACTCTCTTCGTACAATATGCTAAGGATTTTTTAAAATATATTTTTAGAGGACTTCGGAGATGTTTTACCGTATATCATTCGATTTCCTTTGACTTGAGCCTCCTTTATAGTCTCATGAAATGTTTTCAGGCGCGATTTTCTTCTATTCTTCAGCGCGGACCCACTTGAGCTCATTTTTATTTGAAATTTTACGCTTCTGCACTCGATTTTCCAATTCCCACCAGAAGTTCTCAATTGGATTGAGATCGGGTGATTGTGGCGGCGTTTCAAGGCGCTTTGGAACATT